TAAGTGAGGAGAAGCAAATACAATTACTCTGCTAAAAATTGATTGTCTCCATATTACACCTAATTTATAATATTAGGTGATTAAATGTTCCAAAGAGCTATTATATTTAAATAAGTGCCTAATTTACTCCTAAATGGAAATTAAAAACTGTTTTAAAACAGATTTGTTTATTTTTTTATAATAAGATAATTCCACATACCACAAAATTCACCATTTAACAGGGTACAATTCAATGGTTTTTCATATAGTCACAATCACTAGCACTATATTTATTCCAGAACATTTGCATCACCCCAAAATGAAACCCCTTACTCATTAGCAGACATGTCTCATTCCCTCCTCACCCCAGCTCTTGGCAATCACTAATCTACTCTCTGTCTCTATGGATTTTCTTATTTGGGACGTTTCATAATTTGATACAATATTTGGTCTTTTGTGATTAGTTTATTTCACTAGCACAGTGTTTTCAAGGTTCATCCATATTGCAGCACGTATCAGTACAGCATTCCTTTTTTTGTGGATAAATAATATACCATTATATTGTAGGAGACCAGAATATGCCTCCCTAAAATATGAAGGACTATTGAATTGAGCAGCAGATGCAGAAAATCTTTCTGCTCTGTTTGCCTAAAAGCAGGATATAAAATTGTAAAGATATTTCCCCTCCCCTCTCTACCAGGAAGGACAGACATTTATCACTGGAGATGACTATGGGCCCTTATCTGATGGTAACAGCATGAGAGGAGTCTATATGACTAACTAGACCTTATCTACCCTTAGTTCCCTATGTATTTACTTTCCTACTTCTGGAAGCCTAAAACTGCTTTCCTTTATCTTATCAGTTCTTTAAGATTTGCTGTTCTTTGTTGAAGATGCTATAGGAGCCAGAGTTCTAAGTCACTGTTTTAGATTACCTTTCATGTAGGTTTCTCCAGGGTGATGTGCATTACGTGTTAATAAACTTGTTTCTTATTAATTATCTTTTGTTATAGGAATTGGTTCCAACTGTGAACTCACAAGGATTGAGGATAAATTATATTTCCTCCCTGACAGTACAGATACATCACATTTTGCTTATTTTTTCATTGATTGATTGATTGACATTTAGGTTATTGCCATTTTTTTTTTGGCTACTATCAATAGGGCTGCTATGAACATTCATTTACAAGTCAATGTGTGGATAAATATTTTCATTGCTTCTAGGTATATACCTAGAAGTGGAATTGTGATCTCATATGAGTACTCTGCCCTTAATTTTTTGAGGAATTGCCAAACTGTTTTCCAAAGTGACTGTCCCATTTTACATTCCCATCAGCAAGAACAAATGTTTAATTTCTTTTGCACTCTCACCTACCCTTGTTTTTTTTTATTATTATTATATTATAGCCATTGTGTTAGTCAGCTTTGAGTCACTGTGACCAAGGCACCTGACAAGAACAAATTAGAGGAAGGAAAGTTAATTTTGGCTGGTGGCTTCAGAGTTTTAGTCCAATGGTTGGTTGAGTTTGTTGCTCCGGGCCCCAGGGGAGACAGAACATCATGGTGAAAGGGCTTAGTACAAGAATGCTGCTCACTTCATGGAGGCCAAGAAGCAGAGAGAGGAGGGAGAAGGGGCTGCAGGACAGATGAACCCTTCTAGGGCAAGTTCCCTGTGACCTCCTCTTCCAGCCACACCCCATCTGCAGTTAGTTCATTGGAACTAGCATGGATTAGGCTGTAGCTCTCATACTTCAGTAATTTTACCTCTGAAAATTCTGCCTTAACACAAAAATCTGGGGGGACACCTCATCGTGAAACCATAACAGTCATCTTAGGGGGTGTAAAGTGGTGTCTTATGGTTTTGATGGGCATTTCCCTCATAGTTAAGGATGTTGAGCATCTTTTCATGTGCTCATGTCTATTGGTATTATCTTTTTTGAGGAAACATCTGCTCAAACCCCCTGTGCTTTTAAAAAATGGGGTGGTATCTTTTATGTTGTCCTGTACCAGTTCTTTTTTTATTATAGATACAAATCCCTTACTGGCAATGTGATCTACAATCCTGTTCATCCATTCTGCAAGTTTTTCTAAAGGGTGATTTATATTTATGCAATACTTGATTTTTCGGGGGTTAAAGCTTTGTCTTTCTCCAGGATTTCTTCGAATTTAGAGGAATCAGGACTCACAGCACACTCTAGAGAGAGCAGGTAGGAGAAGGAAAAAAGAACAGTGTCTAGCAGAGAGTAATGTGGTCAATTAACTTCTGCAAATGAATTAATAAAGTCTCTGTATTTATTCATACCAGTACTCTGACTTGTGTTCCTCTGCTGGACTTTGAGCGACGGTATTCATTTCATGGCTTAGAGGTCCCTGGGGAGGTGTGAAGTTTTGGAAAGGTGTACTTGCTTCCGTGTTCATCCTCTAAACTATGTGTTTACTCCACAGATGCGCTAAAGCATAACCACTGCCATATGGGAATCTGTAGGTTTTTCATACAAAGAAGCAGTTTTGTGTTCTGCTCTTTGGGTTTGAGAGTCGCTGACTTAGAGAAAGAAACAGTAGTGTTGTCGTCTTGATGTTGACTCTCTAGAGTGTTTTCAATTTGGTTTGGACTTTCGTATCCGGGATGTTTATCTGGAGATTCATTTAGGAGATTTCACACTTACTTCAGTTCTCCTGACCCAGGAGTGGTTCCGTCTGTGTGACTTACCACCCATTGATCAGGGATATAGCTGTAGGGGGATGGATCTAAGGTGTCAGGGAGGCAGGCCACTCTGCCTATCGGGTCAGCTGAACCCTCTGGAGACCTTAGGACTTAGAGACAGTCCTAGTCAGGCTGCCTACATTTACATATCACTTATAAAAGTCTATCAAGATCATTTTGCAAATGAAGTTTGACATAATCCACGGTACATTTGTCAAATCGCAGGAAAAGTCAGAATGAATCAAAAATGGGTAGAGTCAAAGGACTTCTAGTAGAAACTATGAAACCAAAGAAGGAATAAGTATGAAGGAAACATGGTGGGTAAAGGAAAAAGAACAAAGAGAAGCAAGGCACTCGCTTGTAACTGGATATAAACAAGAATCTAACTTTACACAGGCAGAGCTGACTGCTAGTGTTACTCAGCTCAGTTACCCCTCTGTTGTACTCAGCTGAGATGACTCTGGGCATGTATATGACACACATACGGATGCAGGCACTTGCTGACCACTGAAATATCCACGTGGTTATGAACATGTAAACAGTCCCATCAGCAAACAGGGAATTTTTAAAAATTAGTTTACAGAGTATCTTAGTCAATTCTAGTGCTGCTATAACAAAATACCTCAGACTGGGTAATTTATAAACAAAAGAAATTTATTACTCTAAGTTCTGGGAGCTGGGGTGTATAAGCTTAAGGTGTCAGAAGATTTGACATCTGGTAAGGGCTTATTTATTGATTTATTTTTTAATAGATGGAGCCTTCTATCTATGTCCTTACATGGCAGAAGAGGCACATAAGCTCCCTTGACCTCTTATATGAGGCCCCCGATTCCATAGTCATGATATAATCACTCCCCAAGTTCCACCTCTTAATACTATTACATTGGGGATTAGGTTTCAACAGACCCCAGTATGTTTGGGGCGTGCAAACATTCAGACCAACAGTTCATATGAATATGATTATTATCTTAATCTGGTTTAGAGAAAACAATTTCTAAATCTAAATAGCCATCTATAATATAATATTGTATTTATGCAATTCTTTTTCTTCCCCCATAAATGTAAGCATTTTTAAGATTATGTGATTGGTCATTATTCCAATACCCACTACAAAGGAAAGAAGCTGTTTTACCTATTGACTCAAGGCTCAGAAGCAGATTGACCCTGTTCTGGATGAGCAGAAAAAAAGGTCACTGATATTTAGACAGCTGAATGGAGCTAGGATGTGAATTAGGCATTTCACATACATAAATTTTTTTTAACCCCCGGAATAACCCCATAAGGGGTTGTTGTTATCATTTTATAGATTAAAGAGAATTGCCCAAATCACTGAACTAGTAATGGTAGAACCAAACCACATCTGTCATAGTTTACAGCCATATTCTTGGAGTTATGACATGTTTTATTTGCCAGTTCCAATTGAGGGCTGTTGCCTTTAAGGATGAGGGGAAGGAGTCTAAGCTCATGCTCAGTTACTCTGTCCCATGCTGGTAGGAATGGAATAGAAATATCTAATGCAGAACCCAAAACATAGCAGATGAGTGCATTTGTGATAGGCTTCATTTCTAAGGGACTGAATGGAGGTTTTCATTAGAGAAGGGTCTGTATTTTGAGGGAGCTAATGACAGACTCTGCAAATGACAGACTCTGTTCCTCACAACTGCATTTTTACAATACTTTCTCTTCTCCTCCCCTTTCTGCTGAAAGTATTATACTAGCTATGATTAATTTTCTCATCCCCCTTCCCAGCTCTCCATAGCTGCTTGTTTCTTCATTCTGTAAAAGGGTCTCCTTCCTTAGAATGACATCCTCCCTCTATTTGAAAGGTAAACAACCTTCATCCAGTGAAACATGGAGTGCAGCAGAAATTCATTTCTGGGGTTAGTGGCCAATGAACATATGACTGGCAGGTCGGTATTTCTTGACAAGGACATGACAGCTTTGATCACCACAGACAAAGGCAGGATCAGTGATAATCTTATAAAAGGATGAAAACATTTAACCAGATTTATACACAAACCACACTATCTCTTTTAGTTTTGTGAGTGACAGTATTCTGTTTTTTTTACATCAGTGTTTAAATGTTCAGTTTTCAGGATTGGATTGACAGATTTAAACCTCTGATTTTTACACATTAAAAAAAGAACCTTCCATTTTCTTTTGCAAATTATAGCTATCATGTTCCTACATTTGTCTTTATTAGGTTTCCACATACATAGAAACATCAGTCTCCCAGGAGCATCTCAACAGGTCCATTATTTTGCAGTGATACCTGTGGGAGCCTTCGGTTCTGAACCCCAATTAGCTCCAGACTTACCACACCACTTCACTTTCCAGTTACGATTGGCATCTACTCCACGGCAGTGGAACCTTAAGTTCCTTGACCTTGTTTTTCTCCAAAATCGATCCTACATAATTAAGAAAATAGGCAGAGAGAAAAATACTTAAAAGATTATTCACATGCATTTTAGTAGCTCAATCAGTGAAGGTGTTGCATTACTGAGGAGAGAGTTCCTCCACCAATAGATGAGCCTGGAGAGTGGACAGAGGACCGGATTAGCACTAGAGACCCAGGATCATGCTCCAGTCTCTACCATGAACCTCCTGCCTCCTACTGGCTCTTGGTTTCATTTCTTTACAGGCAACACTGAATGGGTTGGACTAGACCAATGATGTTTTTTCATGATTTATTTGGAAGGAGCAGTTTTTATTTACATGAAATCTTACACAGAAGCAAGATATGAAAGTGAAATCAAAAGGCTGGTGCTCTGATTGGCGAGGAAGTGAGGACCCCTTCTGCATCTCTGGAATCACTTAGTAAGCTGCCCACTGAGGCACATTCCGGTCTATGATTGTTTTCTATGACTTATTAAGTCCTCTTTTCAACCAGATAGGCGAAGCGACTTACATGTGTCCAGCTATAATGGTATCCATCAACATTAAAGACAGGCATGATATAGAAATACAGATGTTTTAACATTTTTCTCATGGCTGCATCACTCCTATATGTTAGAAGGGCCTAAAAGACAAAGGAGACATTTTTCTTATAAACTGATCCCAAATACAGGTTTAGGGACAAAAAAAAAAAAAAAAGAGCATGAGAAAACCTTTCTATCCATATGAAATACCAAATACACTGGTTAAAAAATAGCAAGTTACCATGAACTATATTCTTTGACATCACACATTCCTTATTGAGACTTTGGTCTGAATTAAATTCTTTCATATCAATAATAATAATAATTTATCAGAGCTGGTAAAAACCTAATAAAGCGAGCAGCCTCTTGCAATATTACAGATCTGACCAAAGTTTTAGGCTGATGAAGAAAGTAACAATTATAGACATGCCTTCTTATGATCAGTTCATTTCAAATTCCTTTTAGTTGTGAACAAAATAATCAATCTGTGTATATTTGATGTACTTACATGATATATCATAGCACTTACTAGTTATATGTCACTTGATTGTTTATGTCTAATTCGTACCAAACTCAAGTTTTGGAACTCAGTACATAGAAACTCTATTCTTTGTTCTTGACTTTTCTTTTTTCTTTCTTTTTAGTCATATTAAGTTTCCCCCCCATTTTTATTGGTGTATTACTGATGTACATAATGATGATATTTGTTGTTACATATTCATACATGCACACAATATAACAATATATAATTTGGCCAATATCACTCCCTGCTCCTAACTTTTCTATGAAAAGTTTAATGGAGAGTAGACATTTTGTCATTTTTTTTTTTATTGTTGGTTGTTCAAAACATTACATAGTTCTTGATATATCATCTTTCACACTTTGCTTCAAGTGGGTTATGAACTCCCATTTTTAGCCCATATACAGATTGCAGAATCACATCAATTACACATCCATTGATTTACATATTGCCATACTAGTGACTGTCGTGTTCTGCTACCTTTCCTATCCTCTACTATCCCCCCTCCCCTCCCCTCCCCTCCCCTCTTCTCTCTCTACCCCCTCTACTGACCTTCATTTCTCCCCCTTGTATTATTTTTCCCTTTCCCCTCATTTCCTCTTGTATGTTCTTTTCTATAACCCTGAGGGTCTCCTTCCATTTTCATGCAATTTCCCTTTTCTCTCCATTTCCCTCCCACCTCTCATCTCTGTTTAATGTTAATCTTCTTCTCATGCTCTTCGTCCCTACTCTGTTCTTAGTTACTCTCCTTATATCAAAGAAGACATTTGGCATTTGTTTTTTAGGGATTGGCTAGCTTCACTTAGCATAATCTGCTCTAATGCCATCCATTTCCCTGCAAATTCTATGATTTTGTCATTTTTTAATGCAGAGTAATACTCCATTGTGTATAAATGCCACATTTTTTTAATCCATTCGTCTATTGAAGGGCATCTGGGTTGGTTCCACAGTCTTGCTATTGTGAATTGAGGTGCTATGAACATCGATGTAGCAGTGTCCCTGTAGCATGCTCTTTTTAGGTCTTTAGGGAATAGACCAAGAAGGGGAATAGCTGGGTCAAATGGTGGCTCCATTCCCAGCTTTCCAAGAAATCTCCATACTGCTTTCCAAATTGGCTGCACCAATTTGCAGTCCCACCAGCAATGTACAAGTGTACCCTTTTCCCCACATCCTCGCCAGCACTTGTTGTTGTTTGACTTCATAATGGCTGCCAATCTTACTGGAGTGAGATGGTATCTTAGGGTGGTTTTGATTTGCATTTCTCTGACTGCTAGAGATGGTGAGCATTTTTTCATGTACTTGTTGATTGATTGTATGTCCTCCTCTGAGAAGTGTCTGTTCAGGTCCTTGGCCCATTTGTTGATTGGGTTGTTTGTTCTCTTATTGTCTAATTTTTTGAGTTCTTTGTATACTCTGGATATTAGGGCTCTATCTGAAGTGTGAGGAGTAAAGATTTGTTCCCAGGATGTAGGCTCTCTATTTACCTCTCTTATTGTTTCTTTTGCTGAGAAAAAACTTTTTAGTTTGAGTAAGTCCCATTTGTTGATTCTAGTTATTAACTTTTGTGCTATGGGTGTCCTATTGAGGAATTTGGAGCCCGACCCCACAGTATGTAGATCGTAGCCAACTTTTTCTTCTATCAGACGGCGTGTCTCTGATTTGATATCAAGCTCCTTGATCCATTTTGAATTAACTTTTGTGCATGGCGAGAGAAAGGGATTCAGTTTCATTTTGTTGCATATGGATTTCCAGTTTTCCCAGCACCATTTGTTGAAGATGCTATCCTTCCTCCATTGCATGCTTTTAGCCCCTTTATCAAATATAAGATAGTTGTAGTTTTGTGGATTGGTTTCTGTGTCCTCTATTCTGTACCATTGGTCCACCCGCCTGTTTTGGTACCAGTACCATGCTGTTTTTGTTACTATTGCTCTGTAATATAGTTTGAAGTCTGGTATCGCTATACCGCCTGATTCACACTTCCTGCTTAGCATTGTTTTTGCTATTCTGGGTCTTTTATTTTTCCATATGAATTTCATGATTGCTTTCTCTATTTCTACAAGAAATGCCGTTGGGATTTTGATTGGCATTGCATTAAACCTATAGAGAACTTTTGGTAATATCGCCATTTTGATGATGTTAGTTCTGCCTATCCATGAACAGGGTATATTTTTCCATCTTCTAAGATCTTCTTCTATTTCTCTCTTTAGGGTTCTGTAGTTTTCATTGTATAAGTCTTTCACCTCTTTTGTTAGGTTGATTCCCAAGTATTTTATTTTTTTTTGAAGATATTGTGAATGGAGTGGTTGTCCTCATTTCCATTTCAGAGGATTTGTCGCTGATATACAGGAATGCCTTTGATTTATGCGTGTTGATTTTATATCCTGCCACTTTGCTGAATTCATTTATTAGCTCTAATAGTTTCTTTGTAGAGCCTTTTGGGTCTGCTAGGTATAGAATCATATCATCTGCAAATAGTGATAATTTAAGTTCTTCTTTTCCTATTTTGATGCCTTTAATTTCTTTCGTCTGTCTAATTGCTCTGGCCAGTGTTTCGAGAACTATGTTGAACAGAAGTGGTGAAAGAGGGCACCCCTGTCTTGTTCCAGATTTTAGAGGGAATGCCTTCAATTTTTCTCCATTCAGAATGATGCTAGCCTGAGGCTTAGCATAGATTGCTTTTACAATATTGAGGTATGTTCCTGTTATCCCTAGTTTTTCTAGAGTTTTGAACATAAAGGGATGCTGTACTTTGTCGAATGCTTTTTCCGCATCTATCGAGATGATCATATGGTTCTTATTTTTAAGTCTATTGATGTGGTGAATAACATTTATTGATTTCCGTATATTGAACCATCCTTGCATCCCAGGGATGAATCCTACTTGATCATGGTGCACAATTTTTTTGATATGTTTTTGTATCCGATTCGCCAGAATTTTATTGAGGATTTTTGCATCTAGGTTCATTAGAGATATTGGTCTGTAGTTTTCTTTCTTTGAAGTGTCTTTGTCTGGTTTAGGTATCAGGGTGATGTTGGCCTCGTAGAATGAATTTGGAAGTTCTCCCTCTTTTTCTATTTCCCAAAGTAGCTTGAAAAGTATTGGTATTAGTTCCTCTTTAAAGGTTTTGTAAAACTCTGCTGTATACCCATCCGGTCCTGGGCTTTTCTTAGTTGGTAGTGTTTTGATGGTTTCTTCTATTTCCTCGATTGATATTGGTCTGTTTAGGTTGTCTATATCCTCCTGACTCAATCTGGGCAGATCATATGACTTAAGAAATTTATCGATGCCTTCACTATCTTCTAATTTATTGGAGTATAAGGATTCAAAATAATTTCTGATTATCTTCTGTATTTCTGAAGTGTCTGTTGTGATATTGCCTTTTTCATCCCGTATGCTAGTAATTTGAGTTCTCTCTCTTCTTCTCTTCGTTAGCATGGCTAAGGGTCTGTCGATTTTGTTTATGTTTTCAAAGAACTAACTTTTAGTTTTGTCAATTTTTTCAATTGTTTCTTTTGTTTCGATTTCATTAATTTCAGCTCTGATTTTAATTATTTCTTGCCTTCTACTTCTTTTGCTGTTGTTTTGCTCTTCTTTTTCTAGGATTTTGAGATGAAGTATGAGATCATTTATTTGTTGGTTTTTTCTTTTTTTAAGGAATGAACTCCAAGCAATGAATTTTCCTCTTAGAACTGCTTTCAGTGTGTCCCATAGATTCCGATATGTTGTGTCTGTGTTTTCATTAATCTCTAAGAATTTTTTAATTTCCTCCTTGATGTCTTCTATAACCCATTGATCATTCAGTAACCTATTGTTCATTCTCCAAGTGATGTATGCTTTTTCCTTCCTTCTTTTATCGTTGATTTTCAGTTTCATTCCATTATGATCAGATAGGATGCATGGTATTATCTCTACTCCTTTATATTGTCTAAGAGTTGCCCTGTGACATAATATATGATCTATTTTTGAGAAGGATCCATGTGCTGCTGAGAAAAAAGTGTAACTGCTTGATGTTAGGTGGTATATTCTATATATGTCAATTAAGTCTAGGTTATTAATTGTGTTATTGAGTTCTATAGTTTCCTTATTCAACTTTTGTTTGGAAGATCTGTCCAGTGGTGATAGAGGTGTGTTGAAGTCTCCCATGATTATTGTATGGTGGTCTATTAGACTCTTGAACTTGAGAAGAGTTTGTTTGATGAACATAGCTGCACCATTGTTTGGGGCATATATATTTATGATTGTTATGTCTTGTTGGTGTATGGTTCCCTTAAGCAGTATGTAGTATCCCTCTTTATCCCTTTTGATTAACTTTGGCTTGAAATCTATTTTATTTGATATGAGTATGGACACTCCTGCTTGTTTCCGAAGTCCATATGAGTGATATGATTTTTCCCAACCTTTCACCTTCAGCCTATGTATGTCTTTTCCTATCAAATGCGTCTCCTGTAGGCAGCATATTGTTGGGTCTTGTTTTGTGATCCATTCTACTAGCCTGTGTCTCTTGATTGGTGAGTTTAAGCCATTAACATTTAGGGTTATTATTGAGATATGGGTTGTTGTTCCAGCCATATTTGTTTATTT